TGTTCTACGGGTTACTTCTTCAAAAAAAAAAAAAACTGTTATTGTTATTCAATTTGTTTGTCACGAACAAGTGAGTTATCTTTTTAAAAAATTAGCTGCTATGTGAAAACGATTAACCACGATCAGGTTATAGGCAGAATCGGAGAGATACATCGAATTGATTTTCTGTTATTGGTTTCTGTTTTCGAAATGATTGAGTCCGGGATGTACCGGATAATACGGTCCGTTTTTTTTTCTATAATCGTCGATTACGGTAATAATAGTTAAATAATATTGGTCTCGAGTGGTTTTAAATAATTCTCAAATCGGTTATTATCTGGGAAATTGGGAAATCACCGTTCCTTCAATCAGTTAAATCCATTATCAGTTATTTTTCTTTTGTATCTATAAAATATTATATACAAACGCAATATATTACACATTATAATGTGTTATGTAATATGTTTGTTTGTAAAAATAATTGTTATCATTGTTGTTATTTAACGGAATTTTATATATGTTTACATTTTGTCAAAGTGCTTAGCCCGTCAATAAAATAAAATGAATAATGCAATAATAATACATTTAATTCGAATTGATGCATTCAAGCGCGCCCTGGTGGCTGACAGGCAACGACCTTATTCCGGAGAAGTAATTAGAAACTTTTTCTAGACTATCGCGCGAAATAATATTCGGTGGAAAACCCGGTCGAACGTCCGTGGCCCGAGTTGTGGACGTCGGGACGTGTATATTATTTTCCGAGATGTAGCGCTGCACAACCGACCAATCAATTTTACAGTTTTCAAAATATCCATTATTTATAGTTGGTGGTGCTGAGATTATGGTTTTGTCAGCACCGGCTACTAAGTAAACCTTTTTTATGGCGTTCTAAAACGGTCAAAACATGTTTTTTTCGGTTACAAATTGTTGCTTGACAACAGATAGTTTTCGAACTGAAATTATGACGCAATGGTACTAGGGTAATGGCACTACGCAGTATCATAATCAGGGCTGGCTCTAGACAAAATGCATATACAATATAAACAAAATCCAAATATATGAATAATGTTTCGTAAAAAATTATCGTAGTGTGAAAAAGTTAAAAATGATTAGAGACTTCGTTTAATAATTATTGTAATTAAATTTAAGTGTTAATATAATGAACGTACTCTAGGTACATATTATTTTTAGTTAGTGAACGCTCGTTTACTATTCAAAATTACGTGATCGATTAACTTTGATAATATGCTGTCATTATCGAAAAATAAAATTACCAATTTTAATTAGTTATTATTATAATTATAACCAAACTTAACCTATCACCTACTTATTATACGTAGGTACTACGTATTCAAATATAAGGTAACAATTATTTATCGAAATTATTAATCTTACAATTTATTAAATTTACTAATAGTAAAGGTAGAAATGTACATACAATATCCCGTAACATGGATATCCGTGTGAGCCACTGTTATCTGTACAAATATTCCTCGGGGCCACAACAGAGCGATGGACGAAAAGCAAATAATATTTAGCATAAATAGATACTCGGCTGCTACATTATTATAATCCACAAGTTAAATATTAATACGAAAAGCAAACAAAATGTAATAATTTAAATTTAGTAGACAAGGATCGACCGTTGATATTCCCATACCCAGTAAATATAGCCGCATATAATCTACGTTTAAAATTAGAATAATATTTGTAAAAATATAACTACATAGTACGTAGTTTATGTTTGTGTATAACATATGTTATCGTAAGTTGAATTTCAGTGTATTGTACTTGTTTACGTATCTATGCCGTCTCAACCGAGGCCGAATTTATTCGATTGCTCGATATAAGCTATTATTTAAAAATTAAAAACCGAAAATCGAGTAATGAAAACTGATTTGTCGTTTTTAAATGCCTGTACAATTTCAAAATAAAGTAACGCATCGTCTTGCCTTCCGGAATATTGCCTTCTTTTAATTTTTTAATAGGTGCTTTTGCTCTAAAATCAAAATTAGGCGAATTTAACGTCCTCTCAATTATTATGAACACTAGTAGACAGCTGCGAAAAAACCGGCCGGTGTGAGAGCTCACACTGGCTGGTTTTTTTGACTGCGTTAAATAAAACTCCCGACAGACGGCGGCGATAAGATACCCAAATATTGATTAATTTGTATCCTACTATGATGCGGTTAACAATTATCGCAATGCTTATCACGCGTAACTGACTAAAATCTTATATTATAAATCTATTAATATTATGTATCTCAGACGAACCCATATTGTTGTTATTTGTTTTTATCCCAAAAATTTGCGTTAATTTTTTTTTTCATTTTTTTATTTCGGTGGTAACGCGCCTTCAATAAAAATATTGAATAGGAGGAAAATATTTTTCCCGGAATAGTATTAAAATTGTGTTTTGGCCGAAATTTAAATAATAATAGATAAAATCAGTCAGAAAATAAATTCGGTTTGGGGGGGGGGGAGGAACACTAAAAGTTCATATAATTACTTGGTATTATTTAGATTGATAAAATAACCGTGATAACTAATAAAAGTGTGTACACGCGCCCGCAAGAGCGAGTTAACAACCGATTTTAAAAACAATCAGTATCTATGTGCCTTAGAGTACTCTGATTTTAGTTTTTCGAAAAAAGTAATAGAGGAATGTCGAATAGTTTTCAAACATCGGGAAATTACATATAATCGTATGATGTACATGGCTAATAAATAACCTATCTTTTTACCATAACCACCTTGTTAACGTTTTATCGTTTTCTTTCTGTTAAATAAATAATTTACTTATATGTAAAATGTTATCGGGCTTTCCCGTTATGTTTCAAATAAATAAATTAATTAATTAATTTAATAATGACCGATAGTACATTTATTATTATTCAGCACAATATACTACATATTTTACTAATACACTGGCCCTGACTTTATAATTTTGATTACCTATTTTACGTTATCAAATTTTCCATTAAATAACGTTATTATTTCAATAAGTGTTATATCGGTACAGACCATCCAAGGATAACTATTATTAAGGCAGAGGACATGTAGCTCTAAGAAAAAAAAAACGAAATATGCAAGCATTTAAAACCTTTTAAATACACTCTAAAATTGTGTTTCTCGTGATTTAATAAAAAATATCTAAAAAAAACAATTACTTACCTAATTGAATTATATCCTTACCATGGGAAAATGACTAAAAAACCCTTTTTGTCTTAATTAAATTTTTACTATCAATTTATATCGATTAGATTAAGTAGACATTACATTTCATATGAATTTGATCGATTTTTAAATATATTTAATTTTAAATTTCTACTTCTGATATTAAAAAATAACGTTTTTAGCATATTAATTTTTAATTTTATTAATAATTTTCGTTTTGACAAATGTTTTTTCTAAAGAAATAATCATAAAAAGAAGTCTTTAAACCCCTGAAAAGCATTTAAAAACTTATAAAAATCAAAAAGACCTAAATATTAAGCAAAAATATGTTACATAAAATTGTAGATTTGGCTCTGTTGTAACATGAAATAAATTCCTTTCAAATTGGCCTTATTTTACAAAATAAATATGTCAATTCTAGAAGTTCTCAGCCCTAATTATTATATTGAAGATTTACGATTTAAAAAAAAATTATATTTATTATTTTATTTTAAAGTATATTTTTTTCGATCAATATAATATTATATATTTTAATTATTCCGTAAAAATTCTTCATATTCACCTTCTGTGTCTGGTTCAAGTTCGATTTCTTCAGGTTCATTTGCTTTTTATCTTCATTATAAACCATTATAATATTACGATATAATATTTTTGTTTAACAATGTTGTCTTTATAACCTCATACCGATAACATTGGGCGGTGGTGGTACATCGATTACGCTAACTGGCATATTATTTTATATTATATAATTAAACATCCGGCCCTTAATTATATACATTTCGATAACAATAAACGATTGATAACGTTTACCGTGTTTAAAATAAGCGGTGACCCTTGTATTTGGGGTCGGCCTAATTGGGTGTTTTTCGTGAAAATCTAATTTTTTTTATTTGGCCATATTTTCACGCTATTGTTACCGGTTTCGAATCAATACAAAGATTCGACAAACGATCAACACAATACGTTTCCGTATTTTATACCGACAATTGTATTATTTTTGTTTGGCCGTATTTTCACGCTATGGTTACCGATTTCGAATCAATACAAAGATTCGACAAACGATCAACACAATACGTTTCCGTATTTTACATCGATAGCAATCTTCCATATTATTTTCATTTATAACGTTTCTTAAACGTATTATAACTGTCGAACAACTCATACTCTCTAATTTTCGTTTACGGTGTATTTAATTTATATAATTTTATTTATATCGAATATTTATTTGGTAGGTACTTTATGAATAAAATTGTTAGGCTAAACAGAAATGTTTGGACATTTGAAAGGAGGTTCATTATAAGTCGTACTTAGTGGTAAAAACAAAAATTAAGAGTGATGTAGTAGTTTTTTTGTTTTACGGGAATTTTAAAATCAAATGTTTATGATTATCGTAAATATTATACGGCTTTTCAAAACATCTATAATTGAACTTCGCTCATAATCATTTTTCGTTAGCAATGTTAGTTTATCGTTGGTTACAGGTATAAATCAAATACTACCTTTTCAATGATCTAACTGTAACAGTGGCCGCACACGACCCTAGTATTAGCTTTTTTTCTATTTTATATTCACGATTTACAATGATCGTAATTTACTCTAATTGTTTTCTTGTTAGATTGATATCGCATCATATTAATCATAATATATTTAATGCGTATAATTCCGGTCTTTATTGCTGATAAATGCTATCCCGACACGATACCAGCGCCACGACAGATGAAACAGATAATATAAAGGAAAACATGTGGAAGACGTGCTAAAATAATGTGCGTGAACCTGGGCTAGGCAATATCGTCGTTAACGGTAGTCCGTTATCGGAGAAATTTCTTGAGAAGTTAAACTGAACACGAGAAACGCATTATTTTGTTTTGGCGAAATGACAAAATATGTTAATTTGCGAAAGGCGGCCGCGGACACGCAAGGCCCATAGATAGTGATAGTAGTTTACTATCTATAAACTTTGGTGGATACAGATTACATTAACTATCCCACGTTGCGGTCATTTTTGTCCAACAACTATTTCTCCAAAGATGACGTGAAACGTTATAATTACGATGATGCAATACTGTCTTGGGGTCACTTCAAAGCTGAACCGCCATCACTGGATAAGTTCTCATTAGACTCAGTTTCTTTGATTTGAAATTAGCCTGCTTTATTATTTTATTTAAAAATTTTTCTATCGAAAAGTTGATAACAAACGTTCGAATGTAACCATGATGATAAATGTGTAATAATAATAATCGATTAATATTATTGTAAACATAAATATTATAGGTACACCATATTAATGCCACATATGAAACTAAATACCTTTTCTATGTATTTCATAGTTAATAAGCATAACAAAATACAATTTGCATACAGACAGTGTTTGTGCGTATAAAAAAAAAAGTTAAAAAAGTTTTGATACATTTTCAAATAAAAATTTGTAAACAAAATGTGTAGTTACTTATTGTAAGTATCGTGTAAAGTGAGCTGTATGGTATTGCCTCTATGGATTTGTGATGTGTCTATAATTTTAGCACCACCGAATTTGGTAGTCTAGTGGCGTCTATGTAATAGGTACCAAATACTTATACGAAACGAATAAACGATTAAACGAATGCACCGGCGAAACAAAAAGTCACAACGGACACAATATTATTGTTAACTGTTACTATTAATAATACTGTTAATAATTAGTCGTGATAATCGTGGTCATGGGGCTCAACGAATTTGTGCCCGACGCCCATGTAAATTACGTATATATTGTAAATAGAGACATCCGCGTTCGACAACATTATTCCCCCTCCCCGATAATATTGTTGAATACACAAATTAATTATTGTTATGGCAGTGATAACTATTCAATTTTTATTTAATATAAATTCTTCAATACATTTCTATTTTTCCATGGTTTAAGTCGGACATGCCGTGTCCAGATACGATCCGCCATCGAGTACAACGCAACAGCTGTATTTGCTCATATTTTAGTGGCCACAGCCCGGGTCACTGGTGCCACTCGAGTTCTATATTACGATAAGATAATCAATTTTAATATTCATATACTATGTTTGTAATTATTAGTTATTAACGCTGTAATGTGATATAATATAGATAATTGTTTGTCCATAGTCCATAGGACGTGTTTATATAATAAAAACTAGTAGTTATAGTTACACAAATTGTGAGTAATAATTTTGGTTTTATTTAATGTTTCGGTTATAAAGAGAACAAATATATTTAAATGTAACAGAATATGGGTTTTTAATTTTAGAACAATAAAAATCACTGCGGACGTGTGTGCAGACTTTTAAACAGAAAATGATGCAATAAACCGAATGATAATGAAAAAATATTTGGAACAAATAACAGATAACTAAGTAGTAATATGATCGATATTCGGTTCTGTGGTGAAACCGGTATGCGTGAAGGCATGATAAAAAATACAAATATAGGTAAAACAGTAATTGTGTAAATAAATATATTTATTATTAATTAGGTGTATGGTACTACCTAGGTATATTGGGCGGAAGTTGATCCGGAAGTTATACGCATCAAGTGTTATACCTTTTACGTATACAATGTATATAACTTATGTACCAAAGGGTACATCTTTGGTACTGATATACTTTAACCCCGATAGCCGTATTATTTAAGATAAAATGTGATGATTAATAATAATAATTTATATACATTATTATAGTGATTGCTTTATAGTTTAAATATTATACGACGGTATTTATTTCGTGTGTTTAATGAGTACAATATAGAACATAGATACTTGTATTATAGGTATTTGTTATAATTTGTTCATAGTTATTAATATTAGAATGCGAGTATATAGAATATGAGCCAATGATTATTAATTATGTAATAGACTATGCATTATTTTTTTATTGTTATAAACTAGTAATATTAATAACCGTCTCACTCTTATGATTAACTTACTGTAACTCATTAAATATATATATTTTTTTCTCTTTGTTGTTCATTATAAATTCTAGCTGTTTTTGTTTTTTATTATATTGTTTAATTAAATATTAATATTTCGTCTATATACCTAAATGTTTCTTGAAATGTAACCATTGGGCCACCAGCCCGCACATTTAATTAAATAAAATATTAATATGCTAAAGATTTATTTCAAAAGAGGGTTTAAATCGATATTGTATTCTATATTACGTGGCAAAATGTTCGATCGTCCAGGTGGGCGGTCCACATCAAATTAAAGCCGCGCGGCCTGCGCCGGGTACATGTGGCCGTATATTCGAAAATTATGAAAAGACCCTCGTATTTCAAAATTTAATTAGGCGTATTCCTTCCTTGAATTCTTCCAAAAACCGTGTTCCAATACTTCTGCTTTGTAAACTTAGGCGAACCCGCTGCTATTTTTTTTTTCGTGTTTTTGTGTGATTTTTGTATGTGTGTTATGATGCAATTTTGGCATTTATTAATTTCATCTAATGTACTGATAACTGGGTAAAAAAAAATGTAATCATAGAAAAAAGAACGCTGCGTCGTCGACTGGACACGTATTTGCCACGCGGTACGAGGCCCACAGACGCACGGCAAAAACCACTCTGTCCGGATGCACTTCTACATGCGCTATTTGCAATTCGCCAATCAGAAACGACCGGTCGTGTAGAAATGTATAGAATGACAATACGCCACCGGGTTCAGACCTATGATCAGTTATTGCGCGTACGGGCGCGAGACGTTATTGTTTTATACGTTTTAGATTCGGAGCGTATAGCGAGGGCAAATCGGTTTTTAATATTAACCACGGCGGTCGAGAAATCGGATTATTTACTTTTGATTATACATTTTATACAGAGTGATTATTTTTCAACACAACGGACCGACAATTGTTTAACGAGTACATTTTTATTTCATATGAGAAAGTTATCTAAATTTGAAATTTATTTATCAGATACGGTATAGACCACGGGTTATACCACTTATGTTATGTTTGGGCGGGTATTTGACGTACACTCGACCATAGCGTATACATCGTATGAATATATCCATTAGAATAAAATAACAATCGAAAGATAATTGTGATGATATAATATTTTTAATCACAAAACTAATAAATTTAAACGCTATCAATCAATATACTTACACAATTAAACCAAACATGTAAAAAGTATTTTTATTAAAATAAAAAAAAGTAAGCAATTTTTGTCAAAAATGTAAATTTAAAAAAAAATAAATCATGTGTAACTCCAAACAATTTCGTATTTACTACAGATTTAATCTAATTTTATTATTCTACTGAAAAATACCTACAATGTCTTAAAAGTTTTGCTTTCGTTTCTCCGGCCATTACAGAGTTATGTCTTGCTAAACATGACTATAGATTATTGGAATCTACTATCGGTAGTTAATTTTTAGTCATAAAATTAATTTTCTAAATTAATTATTTGAATCGATTATCGGTTAATAAAGGCTAAAAAATTAAAAATATTGGAATGCCATAAGCTTTGTAATTTTATTATTAATTACAAATGATGTGTCATTTTAGCAGTGAATGCAATGATGCAAGATACGAAAACAAAAATTTTGGTATTCTAGTAATTTAGGTATTATAGGTATTTTTCAATAGAGACTTTATTTGGGGTTATACCTTATTTATTTTTAAAAATACAATTTGTTTATTCTTATTAATTTAAACCAAAAAACTTGTATATTATTTCTTGATGAGTTATGTACATGATGTTGGTTGATAGCATAATAGAATAGTTAAACAAGTTTCAACTGTTACGTTCACAACCGTAAATATTTTAAATATACACAAAAAAATTATATGTTAAAAACACTTAAATTGCTCATAACTTAATAAAATAAAAATGTTAGTCCCCCCCCCCATAATTTTCTCCATTATTTTTGGTGTACTTTCATATGACACCAGTTGGTCACTTCCTTCCGGAATACATTGTATACAATACTTGGTTAACAAAATAATAATAATTTAAAATTATTAGTGTTTATAAAGCTAAACTATACGGCTCATTTATAACTATTTGATAATGAAAATATATTTCCATTGATACGCTATTACTTATTATAATAAAGTTATTACCGGTCTAATGTCTATTTGTATAGCATAAATATAAAAACTATAAAAGATGTGTCATATAAAATTAACGACAGATATTACGATAAAAACGTATTCAAGTAATAGAAAATAATCTGTATTTCTATAACCATAAACGGGAGAGAACCAATGCGGTCATTATAAATCCGATAATAAAATAGTAAGATAAAAACGTGTCGAACGTCATACCGTAGAACTATTGGTGGAGAAGTATATATGCCGAATGAGTTTCGTCTATACTGAGTCATTTTTTTGTCGTTGAACATTGATTATTTTTATTTTTATTTTAATTGATTTTTTTTTGAAATTGAAGAAATAAAATGCACTAAAATTAATATTTATATTATTTTTTTTTCACCCTTATTTTAGGGGATATTAGCTTTTGATTTTGAAATGGTAACTTATACATTAAAGGCTCCGTAAATATATAGAGTTAGTTAATATAGATTTTGGTGTTGACATTTTTGATTTCCATCAACCAGTTTACGAGTTATTAAATTTTCAGTGTAGGTAAGAGGAGAATAGTGGAGCACAATTCAAACGCCGCGTGCCGTGCTGCCACACAATTCATTTCAAAATTAAAATGTTTAGTGCTTTGAATGTAGAATACTATTTGAAATAAATTGCCAAACAATTTTATTTTGAAAAAGTCAATACATTGCTAAATAATGAGTGTCTAACGATAAAAGAATCCCTCTGTAAATAGTATTAAAATTGTTTACCACGTTGTATCTGGTAATGTTCACTTTTTTTATATAAATTTTATTTGTAAAGTTTCTGTTAACTTTACTGTACGCATTGGGTATTGGAAAAAAAAAGAAAAGTATAAGCCGAGCATAGACAGTTTCTACCAGAATAAAGATTAATTAATACAAATACAAATTAAAAATAAAATATATGAAGTGTTTGCTCATTAAAACCAAACCGTGGCGAGTTTGGTAAGTTTTATCACTTATCTAGTGATCTACTTAAAATTTGATCGGTGACCCCTGGTTTATGATATTGAATTTTTTATACTGTTCGATTATCTACTAATATTTTAGGAGTAGCCACTATTGTAGGTTAAAAGTTGTGAAGGTAGAATATGATATATACATAAGTAATACATAATTTGAATTGTCGTAATTTTTGTTGCAGTTTTCGTTTAAATTTGATTTTAAAAGGTTTATTAAAAAAAAAACCGTCATCCGATGATTTTGTAAATTTTACCACGTCTAGGTAAGTCTAATAAAAGTATTGTTTCCAAGTTTCATTTTTCTACGTGTATTCATAACCGAATTACAGAAAAAAACTACGAAAAGTTAAAATTCCTTAAAAGCTCAAAAGCGGCTTAAAAGTTTTGGCGATGATACCGTAAGAAAGTAGATCAAAAAGGTGTGTTGTGATTTTTCGATTAAATCATTTTTTCTTGTAGGAAACGTCGTCCGTGCTTTTATAAAATAATGAAATCGTGAAATTGTACGTTTTCCTACGTATTTTTGCATTTTAAAAAAAAATCAAAATCGAAAATTAAAAAATGACCTCTCTTAAGTACAATCTAGACAACTTATGCTTTTAGAAAAGATGCTACACGTAAAAAATCGGAGCAAGTTCACTAGAAAAAACCTGCCCATAGACTAAAAAAAGGGAAAAAAATAAATAGCTTCTTTGCTACGCTCGGGATCTAAAATCTAAACATTGATATTCAATATGATAATCGTTTGCGGGAAACGTGAATATAATTGAACGAAACTCTTTACATAATCTATGAATCCCGTGTAGACATTTAATTTGATAACGGTTGAAAACGTGGTACGTGGGAACGTGTGTCGTTTCATATATTTTTTGTGTATCTATATAATGCACACAGATCGAACGATTTGAAAACGACCACCCAACACGTAGAAACAGAGACAGAAAAAAAAATCGCTTTTTGCCTTTTATAATTGGAAAACGTTCGGCGTCTGCGTGTCGCCGGCGATGCCTTTTGCGGCTTAATGGAATACCGGACTGGACCCTCGGTATCTATTATATTATTTTACTTAATATTCTCTCGTTCCCTACAGTCGTAAATGTTATAATTTACGATTTTCGATAAGAATCGGACGTTTCTTCTAAAGACGGCTGGTTTGGGGGAAGAAAAAAAAAAAGAAAAGAAAAAATAACCGATTTCCTGCGCGCGCTCCCTGTGGAGCAAGCGACCCGTCCAATATCGTGCCCGACACCCGACACACCGGATTATTACATTGTCATTTCGTGAAGAATCGACCCTATTCTCAGTATTCCAAAGAATTCACGAATCCCTAGGTTTTTTTTCTACCTGCACCATCTGACATATCCACCGAAATTTAAACACATCATTATTGTATTACGAAAGATCCGCGCCATTGGGGTCCAGGGACGATCAATAATAGTAAAAATAAATAGGAGGGTCGCGTCATCTGGCCGGCACTGACACCATGCATTTCTAAATCGATCCGGGGGGTGAAGACCGGCCGAAGAACACGCCGCATGAATTCGTAAAACCTTTTTTCGTATCGCCGGTCCGAGCTGTACCAGAAAAAAAAAAAAAATGGAAAAAAAACTTGTCCTTTAATAGTTGTTTATGGCTATATTGAATCCGGCTTTCGAGTTTTACCGGGTTCCATGCGTGCAGTCAAAGACGCCGCTAAAGAAATTTAACGTACGTTCGGTGAGGGGCATCCGAGACAAAAAGCATGCCAGGCGGTTGTCGGCAAACGTGTCACGAGTCAAAGAAACGGCCAATATACTTGGCGAATACATACACCACCCGCAGAAACACTATACAATGTTGACACCGCTCGTTTGCGTAGACAAGAAATAATAAGGAAACTAAGGAAATTAAGGGAGAAATTCGTTTAGAAAACAAAATATATAATATCGCCCGATAATTATTACGTATATACTATGGTATTAAAAAGATTAAATTATTATAGAAATGATTTAAGTACCTTATTCTAAAATACATAATCGCGATGACGAATAGTATAAGTACTACAATGATTAAAAAACTGAAGCAGCTGTGATAACAGTTTACTTTACTACTTGCACAAGTGCGCGAGTATTGGCCTACTTGTCAAATACGCCAGTCATTGGAACCAGCCGGCTGGTTGAATATCGGGGCCGTGGCCGTGTGTATTTAATCTATCGCCCCTCAGGATCCACCCCGTGTACATTAAAAACGACAGTATCTTCTTTGTATCAGCTGCTCGTATACTCTCTTCGCGGTTTTTCATGTATTATATTCACGTGTACGTTCAATAATCCGTATAATTTTTTATTTATATTTCAATTTTTGAATAATTATTTGAATAGTAACAATACACGCGTTTTCTATTTGCTATAACTGCCAAATGCGAAACAAACCGCATAGCGTAGCAATACTGGGCCTCAGTGAGTGGCAAGTAATTTCCATTGGAGTTCCATTAAAATAATAAACAAACGAGGTTCAGAGAAAAAAAAAAATGTCATCATAAAGCGATTTTTTATTATTACGGCTGCAGCTATGGTCTGGCGGAGAGTCGGTCAGTGGCAAAGTATCCGTAGCCCTATAATACCTATTTTTTTTCGAGAAATGCTTTGTCTAGAATTATTCAGTCAATGCATTTTTGTAAATTTTCAACGAAAAATCTTAAAACACGTCGATTATTTCTAATAAATATTCTTAAATGACGTCTGCCCGATAAGATATCGACTAATGAACGATGATTATAACCACATTATATTATACGATTTTTGATAAATTAAACTAATTTTATACTTTCAATTAATTTCTACTGCCTTCCGCTGCCTGAATTTAAAAATGTGTTCCTTCATAGTCTGTCATGGCATTAATTAATATTTTAGACGACAATCGAACATCTCTAGATCATTAACTTTTTAGTTATTTTCAGTGATAAAGGAAAATATTTATAGGTTGTTATTTTATTCCATATAATAAAATAACTATTCTATAAGTAAACGGTTTAGATAAAATTATTTCGAAAAATTATAATTTTCTTTTTCTTCTAAAAACAGTTTACACTCTCTCAGAAAATTCGTGTAAATGTAGTTACAGTGTGGTTGTTGCAGCGGTTCTTTCGTTTACGACATGATTATATCAACTTCCGGGAAAACATATTGTTAGCTTTAATCCAAAACAGAATTATCGCGAGAGTAGACAATAAAAAAATCATTAACAGGTCTCGTAGAAATAAGGTGGAAAATATAGCCCGTAAAAATCTACGACGTGACGTGAGATTTTTCGCCGAAATTAATATTATTCGTTTCATCGTTATATTATTACAATAATTCTAAACGAGTATCTAGTATAATATAAATATAATTTACGAAGAAATAAAAAAATGTGTTTTTTCGCAGACGAGAATAATATTTCCTTTCATATGCGTAATCCGCTTATTGTGTAAAATTATCCTGTTCTTTTCGATACGATTCAAATGATAGGAATACTGCACAATATTATTGATGTCATTTAAACGTAATGAAGACGGTTTCGAGCATATTTTTTTAACTTTTTTTTTTTTGTTACGTTTTGAACGCCGAAATATAACAGCCGTGTTTTTATAATAAACTCTTACACACACGATAGCGTTATATTCAAACGCGTACAGACGAAAAAAACAAACAGAAATACAAATGCCATAACGAATATATAATAACTTAAAATAAATAATCTATAGCCGACCGTGTGCTTGTACGTTTTTCATTAACTGTTATCATTGATAGCAAAAATTTTTTTTTTGAAATCCATGATTCACTATAGACTATCACTGTTGTGATAATTGTCCTTAAATGGTATACCTGTGGTGGATTTTTTTCATCGTTAAATGGTCATTATCTAAAAAAAAATTAACTTTTTTCGGAATGTGTTTTATAGAATATTTGAGAAACAAGTAATTTTACATTTACAGTATTTTTTTCCACTCTAAATTTTAGGGGTGAAAATGCTTTCTACTTTTGATTTTCAAATAGCGACCTATATTAAAAATCCCATAAATAGATGAAATATTAGTTAAAATACATTTTGGTATTGACATTTTTAATTTCTGTCAATCTGTTGACGAGATATTCCACTTTTAAGTATGTGTCGGGGGAGAGTAGTGGCGGCACGACGCGTGACGTTTTTATAATGCACCAGAACTCTCTTCTGACTCATACTTAAAAGTGGAATATCTCGTCCACGGATTGACGTGAATCAAGAATTTCAACACCAACATTTATTTAACTAATACTCCATATCTACTTAATGTATTTTTAATATAGATTGCCATTTGAAAATTTAAAGTAGGTAATCATTGTTTCACTCCCCAAAAAAAGAATGACAAGAAAAAATGATAATGTAATATTTTAAAACTATTTGTTTCTTAAGTTTTCAAAAAAAAAAATAAACGAATTTTATAAATAGTCAATATACTTTTCGAAATAATGAGTGTTTAACGATAAAAGAATCACCTGGTTAGGTATTCGAAGAGATGTACTTAAGGAAACGCGTTCTGTTTAGATTGATGGAATTTACTAAATAAAAATTATGCAACTTTAAATGATGTTAAAAAGGTTTTATCAAAATATGTTTTCCCAAATTTACATAAATTATTTCAAGTTGTTGTAAAAATAGGTACCTATATGTTTGTTCACTACCTAGTGAAAGGAATTTTTCGGCCGTTTTTCAAATGGAACCAAATGTCCGACTACGACAATCACGTCAAATCGGCTGGAATATCAATTATATAATTTTTTTTTTTATTTTTCTTGCATTTTTTTGATATGTTTTTATCGTAATATTTTATACACGTATCCGGCGGTTGATACGTTTCTTGATAACTACGTAGTTAAAAATGGCGTTTTCAACGCCGCCGTAGTTAACGCATATATCTAAACAATGCGTATCGCCTTAGTTGTGAAAAGAGATAATTATTAAAGAGGACGTGCAGCTCAAAAATAAAAACACGGAATTCGCAAGCAATTATGCATTTAAACCCCTAAAATTGGGTTTGAAAACATTTTTCTAGTGATAGTTAAAAAATATTAGTTATTTAAAAGAACATCTAAAATAAAAAAATACCAACAAAATTGAAATTGTTAGTGGTAAGGTTATAGCCTTACCACTACCAAATTAGTAGAAAAACCCATTAGTTCATTACATTAATTGCGTGATGAGTTTGATTGATTTTGAAATATAATTAATTTGACTTTTTTTTCTGACACTAAAAAATTATATTTTAACATATTAATTTTTGATTTTACTAATGATTTTGATTTTGATAGATGCTATTTCTAAAGAAATTGAGACAAAAGTCTGAGTCAATAGCTCCTAAAAAGCAAGAAAAACCTCCTAATGTCTCTAAAACCAAAAAAACCTAAATAATATGCAAATATATGCACCGTGCGATTTATTGTACTAGATTCGGCTTTGTTATAACATTGAACACATTTCTTTCAAACTGGTCTTTTTTACAACCCCGAAAAATAAATATGCAAATGTTAGAAGTCATAATTATAATAAATGTACCGGTAAACCCGGGGGGGGGGGTGAAACCCATAATGACCCATAAATTATAATATTTTCACACAATAAGCATATAACTGGTAATAATTTAAATATTCAAAATACCTAATAATTTGCGCGTTATTCTGCAGACGATAATTGATATTGTTTTATACGTAATGCATCTATCGATTAGGTACCGAATAAAATATTATGATTTTTGTACGGCGATTTACGACAAAGATACAAAAGTTAATTCTATTTTATTGATTTCTATTTTAAGCCGTATGCCGTTTAGAAAGTCATGTTCGTGCACGCTTCACTCTCGTTCTCTCTCGCGAATCATATTTGTCATACGTTTTTTTAAATAATAATTTATATCTTATATTTTTTGTTTGTTTTATTCGAATAATTATGTTAAAAATTAAATTTTCCACCGACCACCGTCTTGAATTAGACTATAAAGCGACTGTATTTAAAATGATTAACCTTATATTATCATTACCACGACATTTATTTTTGATAAAGAGTTATTCAATATGCAAATTTAAATAAAAAACCAATATTAAGATTAATATAATCCAATTCAAATCAAATATTTATACAATCTAGTGATTGCAGAATGCCACGTGAGAGGGTTTACGCGTTATCAATAAAAAAAAAAAAAAAATGAATCTTTACCGACTCAAAAATGTTCATATAATTTTAAAAATGGTTTCTGGTTCTTAATACAAACATTTATTGCGTTTCTATGGAATTTGTTCGCGTAAAAATACTCTTCAAAGTGGTTTTAGAATTTTTACTCATATAGGAAATGCGAATAAAAGTAAACTACATTATCTAACATATCAGTTTTCATTTTTTTCGAACGTGGCGGTAGATGCTCAATATAAGAAAGTGGCATGTTTTTACAATTATATAAGTCATCAATTTATTTTAAATTAATATTTTTTTTAATTGAATGTGTCTTTTTTATACATAAAATTGTGTTCTTTAACATTTTGCTATTTTACCGAAATAAAACGTTTTTTCCATGCAATATTTTTACATTAAAATGCTCATGCTGATATGAAGAGAACTTAAACATCTCAAGGAAGAAAAAGACGGACATACTTCACACGCGGACGGGCCACTGTTGTTGGTGAGATGTTGGGAAGGTAGAGGGGAAATTTAATATATACACGTATGCAACGATTACCGTTGCTAAAGAAAACGATTCTGAGCAGATTTCGGTTAATATTGTTGCTCTGTGAAAAATAGTTAATGGGTCACATTATGGTAAGATAATACATATGTATTATAATATATTTTCTTTAATATTATGTGTTTAATATTGTACCTATTTTCTTATTTTTCCGATTTATTGGGAAAACCCCTGGACTAATCAAAAAATGATCTCAGTAAACTACCACCCCAGTCAGGTTTTCTTTTAGAAGAAGTGCTACACTTGAAAATCAGAGTGAAACTTTTACTAGAAAAATTGTCCACAGAAAAAAAAAATATTATACAACCAATAATACTTTCCTCGCGCCGCTCAGAATCTAAAAGAGTTGATACTGAAGACGGATGCAGCCACTGTAGTAAATGGGAAGTTAGAAAGGTAGTATACATTAATGTATTTAATTTATATTGGTAACTGAACTCAAATTTGTTTTTTAGATTATTAATTATAACTTATAATGTACCTTGAGTTAAATTTTGTGAAAACTATAGGTCTCTAAAATAATTTGAAAATTAATAAAAACAAAAAACCCAAATGCCAAACAGTTAGTTTGCCGTCTTTTTTATGTTTTTTCCCGGTTTTTTGTAATTATTAGGAAAACTACATGGAAAATCAAACAACGGCTCTCTTAATCACAAACCAGACAAAATTTTATTTCGGAAAATATGTAACTTTGGATAAAAATTTCTAGAAGGAAAACATAATCTTAACAATTTGAAATAATGAAATCGTTCAGCCGTAATTTGGAAAAATCGTATTTTTTGACCAATACATCCTTTATATAGTATGCGCTCCAAATGTACAAAATGGTTAAAATATTTTGAGAGTATATTTTTTAGTTGCGTGTCAAACCCATTGGTCATTATCATTTAATAGTATTGTAAAACAATTATTGAATTTTTGTTGTGTACTTACTATATTGTAAGAACGAATAACACAGTATAGAAACATTTTGGAAGACCTTTATAATTATACGTAATATTACTTTGATATGGTAGGTATTCATCCGGACGGTAGAAAAAAAAAATACAACTTAATGACGGTACCTAATGGTGGACATAATGTGTCTCGGTATGCTATGACATCACTATAACTGCATTGGCTGCATTCCACACCAGTGACGATATCGTTTATTTGTCTACTACGTAGTAAAGATATCCAATATAAGTAATTAGTAATAACCATCAACGTCGCCACTTGGGAATCGATAGTAACGAGAATTTAATACTTTTGGGGAAACAAAAGCGACAATTTAAGTGTAATTTATTTTTGTGAAACTGTTGCTTCGGGTTTAATGTCATACTATTGTTTCTTTGATTTCGACGTCAAGTTAATGTATATATCAGCGAACAACATTAAAATATAAGATACCTATGGTAACATTATAGGAAATGTATTTAATGTTAATAGGAATACATAGGACAACCGGACACATTTACGGCAATAAAAATGCCATTGTTTTCGATTTTTTTGAACTCGCGTTGTACGCTGTCTACGGTCTGCACCGAAAACATATTATCTACCGCAACCGTAATGTACACCATCCCTTTCGGGGGTTATTATGTATTTTTTTTTTCGACGTCCGGAAACGACTTTTAATCCTTATTATTGTTGAAACAAAATGTTGCAAAACAAAAGAAATAAAACCCCCGCGTGGAGTAGATTTAATGTTCTTTATCGGTTACTGTTTAGACCATACAATTTATATACATATTGTATATGTGTATCGGTGTATTAAAGGCTAAACACATCCGGTGTAACGGATAAACTAGTTTATTCAGAAATCGGGTTTGGTCGGTACTATATACATAGCTCTATAACTACGACAAGGGCACACCGTCAATGTCCGACCAACATTTACGTATCATCCGAGACGTGGATAACATACAACGCGATTAACGTACGTGTAGCATACGACGCGATAGTTCCGATTTTTAGATTCCGAGCGTAGTGAGGGAGCTCTTGGTTTCACAATGCTGTTTATTCCTTACTTCTTTATTTTTTTTTTCTTAAAAAACTTGCTCAGATTTTTTATGTGTAGCAACTTTTCTGAAAACTCAAGTTGTCTAGATGGTGCTTAAAAGAGGCCAAGTTTTTGATTTTCGATGCCATTTGTTAAATAACAGCACTTAAGTGGGAAAAAACCTAGGAAAACGTACAATTTCACGATATCGTTATTTTATAAAAACACGGACGACGTTTTTTACCAGAAAAATGATTTAATCGAAAAAGTATATGATACCTTTCTTGTTGCCTTTTCGATTTACTTTCTTATGGCGTTATTGCCAATACTTTTGAGCCACTATTGAGCTTTTAAAAGAATTTTAATTTTTAGGAGTTTTTTGCTTTTATTGGGTTATAAACACATGGAGAGACTTGAAATTTGGTAAAAATACTTATATTGGACTTACCTAAATGTGGTTAAATTTCCGAAATCATCGGATGACTTTTTTTCTTTAAATAAGCCTTTTGAAATCAAATTTTAACGAAAATCGCAAAAAAAAAATTACAGTACTTCAAATTATGTAATATCGAACTGCGCTCGGAATCGTCTTTCATCAAGCAGTATTTTGTCGTTGCTTACAGATATAAATGAAATAACCTTATGTATCCAACTTTCCCAACTGTTCATTTGTAACAGTGGCTTCTCCTATCCCTAGAATCACCTCTATTTTTTTACTATATTTTTCTACCGACAATTTTGCTCTGAATTTCAAGAAAGCGCCTTTTTTGAAAGAAAATGTTGTCTATATGCGCAATAAAGTGATTTTTTTTTAATTTTCCATATATTTTTCCCAATACTTTAGGAAGAACAACTAATCCAATTGTTTGAGGCGTAAACGATGTAACGTATGATTGGCACACATAAGGATTTGTATTTTTCGATTATTTCTCCAAAATAGAAAATATTAGGTACTCTTTATCGTATCAAATGTTTCTATGCAGTATACAAACTTTTTGCGTGATGCAATTTTGCAGATTGGTCGTCAGGGTGTGTTTATTGCGGTTTTCGACCCGATGGTCGAAGCCTACCGAACTATCACATTCAACCAATGATTGTTAAAGCGATTTTTCGCATTTATAAAGATTTTCGGAACTTTAAACAACTGCGTTACACGCGCACTGAATAAAACCACCTGAGATTAAATTAAGAAGAACTTTCTCGTCGTACGATAGTATTATCCACTGCTAAACGTGTAAAAACCTCTAGAGTTTAAATTCGAATCGGTGGAAAACGGAAACGTGGCGAATTGTTTAAACGATATGCGAACAATATATGATAACATTGTACGCAGTGACAAGCCGTTTTAGGAGGGTGGGGGGGGGTTAGGTTTTCGATTAATGTGGCGACCGAGAGCTCTGCTGTACGCCGGGTTTCTTTGTCTTTTTTCTATATACCTAATCGTCTGTTATCTTCGACGCGCCCACCGATACCCGAATTCTCGGTATTATATTTTCATCGAAAGGAATGTATTCGACGCGACGAAAACGACGGAGGGTGAACTGCAGGTGGCTTTTACTCACGTGGTTATAATCCCGGGTTTTCGACCGACCGACCGTCGGACAAACCGTGTTATTTTTTTTTTTTTTTTTTTTTTTCGACGCGACAGTCCGACGCCACCACGGACCTTTCTGATTTATACAGACAACTGCGGGGATAGGAATATATATTATAATAGAACGCGTTTAAAGCGAATGTTCGGCCCGCACACCCCTACGGGCAGACCGATTTATTGTAATATGTTATTATATTGTTATAAAGAAGAAGTTATACGGCGGGCGTCGTTAGAACTTCGATAAAATCGCTGAGCGGGTGGTTTCTGGTAAGAATAACCAACCCTCCGATTCCGAGAACGCGTACCGGTTGTTTTTCTACTTTTCACGTACCCACCTGTCCGGGTCGTCGAGACGTGACTGTAACAATGATATACGGCGTCGCCGTCGTCGTCTTCAATAGCCGATAATCGAACTGGCGGCGTCTGAGAATGTCGACGAAAAAAACAAAACCGATACGATCGTACGCATTATTTATGTCGACAATGGACACGATATCGCACACATGTACACGCTTTCGGATTTCTAGAAAACGTGTTCTAAATAATACGAAATTTACACGAAACCCCACGGGTGTAATATAATAATACAATATGGGATGGGTACATGTCGTAAACTGTTATGATATCACGTATTATACATTAAAATTATATTATAACCGTACCAAAAAAGGACGGACATACTTTGCACGTGGGTGGGCCACTGTCGTAGTGGATGGTAGTTGGGGAAATTTAATATATATCTGTATACGCGACGGTTATAACTATTGCTAACGAAAAACAATTCTGAGCAGAGTTCGGTTGTTATTGTTGCTTCGGCAATAATCTCTCGTCTTGCCTTCGGAACCGTTTGATTCAGCCCTCTAACCGCATGCATATATCTATGCATGTATTGTCAACCCATTCAATCAATTTTCGTATACGAGTACTTTTATTGAGTTTTTAACCATATACACTGTTTACAAATTATTATTATTTTGATTCAAATTCATTTGGAAACTTAAGAAATTTAGAAAATTTATTTGTTTAAATTTACATTAATATTTAACGCCCCAAATTCAGTTTCAAAATCATCGTTCATACCTTAATTATAAAAAAAGCCAAATGATCACGCTACCGAAGATGTTAGTTTAGTACCTTAATAATAAATAAAGTTAACGATTATTCGCCTTGTAGTTTGGTTTTTTTATTTTAGTGGCAATTCTGAAACTGATTGAATTATACATTACAAAAAATAACAAATCACGGTTTACCAAAACTAATAATAAAATTTAAATAAATAAACAATTTTTAATATTTTGATTTGTTATTTTTTGTAATATATAATTCAATCAGCCTTAGAATTGCCACTAAAATAAATTACAATAAGACGCAACAGCCAAAATCAATATCATCCTCCTTTGCAAAATCCCAAATACGTCACTGATTAGGTTTGTTTTGCAATTGTTTTCCAATTATCGTTATTAACAATAACTTGTTATCGTTAACGAGTTATCGCCGTATTAATTAACTGTATAGTTATGTCTTTGGGCGTGTATTTAACAAAAAAAAAAAAAATAAAATACATAAGATATAATTTGTCTACCGGATCCCGATTTTTTTACTAAAAACATCTTTAATATTTGTCCGGTAAAATCACGTTTATTATAAACGCGATCGCCTTGTGGCAGAACTAAAACGTTTTTAATCGGCGTACCCGTATATATTATAATTATTTGATTTATCAATTTTTTTATATGTATACGTACTTTTCGCCCTGGCAAACCGCCGCGTTCGAATTTCATAATTGTGTTTTATTGCCGTCGTTTGGTAAAATAAATATCTAAATCGACCAGTATTAATTGGAAAAATATTTTGAAAGATTACAACAGTATAAAATGGTCACTGTATTAACGCATGTACTAGCACGGCGGCGACAATAATTACGAGCGCTCCGACGTTCTATTGTCCGCGGTAGTGGTGGCAGTAACGGCGTTCGGGGACCGTCAACCAATGGCTATCGATCATACCCTCCGATCCAACCCCGCCTGTAAGAAAAAAATCCCGTCTCCCCCCCCCCTGCGCTACAAATCCCTATATATACGGGAGCCGGCCTCACTCGGCAACCAGTTCCTACGCCCGACACCTTCCTATGCGCACGTCTCTACCTCCGTTATTTCTCTCGACACCCGTTCCTTTGCCGCCGCCGCCGCCGTACCATCTGATTCCGTCTCGCCCAGTACATATCCGAAAATCTTTACTTTCACGAAATTTCTTCCCCGAAAAATATTGAACGTTCATTATTTTTGATTTCAAACAACGCGTTTTTTCCGAGTCCATTGTGCTTTTTTTTCTTACATTTTTTCTCGTAATTTCTCAACCACGCCGTTGTTACATCCGTACGTTTGCGTCATTATCAGCTCACTTCAGCGAGTCCAAAAATCTGCAAGTTCGCGCATCCATTTTTTCGTCCATTTATTTTTTTTTCACCGCCAACCGATCACCGTCGATGCTGTGCTCGTCGCTCGACCGCAATTTCGGTTGCACCATTCACATGCTACCACGCTCTTGTCTCCGAGGTATTCAGCGAAGAATCCTAGAAGCCAAGGCTATCGATCACTAAGAAGACCAAAAACACTAAGATGCATCCTGCAGCAATGAAGCACTAAAAATGATGAAAGGTCAGTTTTTTCATAATGTTCGTTATTGGCGCTTGAATTAGGAGACGGAGTAACTTTTTTTCTAGACGAATTATCTAGCGTATTCCTTTAAATTATTTGTTTTTAATAATTTCGATTATTTCAGACTTTTCACTCCGGTGGTTAGGGTAAATTTTCAAGAGGGTATGCTATAGTTGTAAATAATTTAGAGAAATTATGTAAAAAGCTTACGTTCAATTTTCAGCGTTATTACTTTTAGATTTAGTTTTTGTTCAGATAAGAAGTTAGAAATTAAATTAGGTATCCAATGGACCATAAAATCTAATTTAAGCTCAATTTTATTTGTATCACAGAAATATTTAGGAGTTGATATAGCGTTAAAAAGAAAAAAAAATCTATTTGGCGCATTCATTAATATCGGTAATTTAATATTATTAAATATAATACTGAATTCTGATTTAAATATTATAAAAAATAATATGCTTATCGATATTAATGTTATTATTATACTGAAAATCTAATAAATTAATTAAAGGTAAATTAAAATTAGCTAAATTAAACGAATCCGATGCTATTTTTGACGTGGGCGTACCTAAACCAATCACTTCATTCGCAGAGTCTTCATTAAATTCTGACTTTCCCTCTGAAATACTTATTTTCATGTAGGATTACAAAAAAGTTTTATCTTATTCTATTTATAATTTCGTACGTTATATTCATGGCCAGTAGTAGTTTTATGGAGGGGTTCATAAATCCGAGAGCTATGGGTTTTTACGTTTTTATGGATCCAAATTTTAGTTAATTATGGACGGTTGAAATAAGGATACACATTTTTTGTTAACTGACAAAATTGTGTTCATGTAAAAAATCTATTATTTGTTTACTAATTTTCAATAAATTCAACTCTCAAACTACAAATCGTATTAAACCTTACAACTACTGTATGAGTACGAAAAAAATAATAATAAATTTACCTTTTTTTTTTTATAAATAACGAATTCAGTGGATAGATGCCATGTTTGATCGAAAATAGAACGTGGTAGATGCTCCAACGGGTACGTTGATACCTTATTGAAAATCACTACCATATAACGAAATAATATTGAATAATAACCATCCTTAATTCCCTTATTACCAGATATTTCCCGGACTCGATCTTTTCGAAAACTAAAACAACTGAAATTAAATCAATTTTATGTGAAGCCCCGTTACCGCTCCTATATTTCTATCGCGGTTAATCGATGTCACCCGGTAGTTTATCTTTTAAAAAGACTACATGTTTGTCTGTGACAAAAGTATTTAATAATTATAGGTAACGATTTTTTTTTAACTACCTGAAATTCATTTTTCAAAAATACCGAAAATTACGCGTCAGGGTTTAATGTCATGAGGTCAGGGGTTAAATTTCACGACGAAAAGTAGATAGAGGTTTTAACGCAGCTGTGGCAAGTAGGAATGGTGTGGGGGCCGTGAATATTAAAAATATTATGCACACATGGAGGTTATGATGGTGTGTGCGCGCACGTCACTACGTAACTGCACGGAAAACTGTGTTGTAATATTTTTTATTAACTGTTTAATTAATTGATTTACGCAACTTTTCTCACTAAATGATTCATCTACACAAAAATTCTCTGTGTCCACATGAGACATATGAGATTAATATTAATCCATATGAGAGTTTTAATATCCCAATTGGAGGAAGTTTCTTAAGGAATATTTATGGTATGTTATCTGGGCCAGGGCTTTTACTAGTGCAGGTTTTGAGAGCTTTAATGAGTTCGGAAATGTCAAAGTCCTTGTTAAAATGTTCATTACTTTGATTAGATGAGATTGAAGAAGTGGTATTTTTAAGTGTGATGAAGTCCGGAGAATAATTTTTATCGCTATTTTTTTTTTGGAAAAAGTGTGCAAAAGATTCAACTGCATTTAGTGTTGTTATTATTTATCGATTATAATGTAGTATGTCAGGGAGTAAACAGAATTTAGTTCCTTTGATAGCATTAATTTTATTCTAAATGATTATAGGGTTTACTTTATGGTTTATTGTGGAAGTGAAGTTTTGAAAAGCTAAGGTTTTATTATTATTAATATTTTACTATCAGGCAAGTAATTGTTGCAGATATACACATGTTTTTGAAATTTGAATATAGTAACTATTACTTCGTGTTCTGATATAAGTGGGATGCTTTCGCTTTCTATATAATTTTTGATAAAGTTTTGGGAGTAATATGCTTTTTTAAAGATGACTTCTCATAAGTTTATGTTGAGGATTCTGATGACAAAGTATTAATTGATTTCTCCGCTTTTAATATTAATTCTAACATAAATTTTAGTTTTTGCCAATTATATTATGATGACGTTTGCGATTATCTGTCAACTTTGAATTTACACGCTGATGTTGGTCCTGGTATAATCCTTCCATTCTTTTAAATAATTGTAATTCTGGTTTTGTTAAACCATTATTATATCTAGTTAACAAGTCATTAAGTAAGGGGTATTTCCCTTCTACTTGGAAAAAGTCTTTTGTTATTCCAATTCACAAAACTGGTAATTTGTTTGATGTCTGTAACTATATATCTATTTCAAAAATGTCTACTATACCTAAAATCTTTGAAGCTTTAATTATTGTTAAACTATTAACGTTAATGAATAATTGCTTATCCAGTTGCCAGTATGTATTTTGTTCTAAACATTCAATTATAATTAATTAGTTAACTTTTCAAACTGATATTTTAAACAATGTTAATAAGGACCATCAATCAATTGATTGTGTATTTACAGATTTTAAAAAGGCATTCGATAAAGTTAACCATTGACTTTTGTTAATTAAATTAAATTATAATAGAGCCCATGGTGTATTTTGGAGTGGCTTGAGTCTTATTTACATTATCGTACACAGAAAGTTAAATTATTGAATTAATTTTCTGGAGATTTTATTGCTTACTCGGGGATTTCTCAAGGCTCTCATTTTGGGTACGTCATTATTCCTAATCTTCATTAATGATTAACCTTCAATTTTTGGCAGTGGTATTAAGGTTTTATTGCTTGCTGATATACAAAATTATATACTAATATTTGTTCACTTGATGATTGTATATTTTTACAAAACAATTTTAGGTCGAAGTTTTAACTATGGAGCAATGTAGAAGCGTTTATATGATTGTGTGTAAATACTTTTCTTGCATAGAACCACATATTATATACGCTATATTTATAAAAAATATCGTTTCATTTTTCAAAGATTAAACATAAAAATTAGGTAGATAAACTTGTTAATTTTCGTTTTAAATTAAAAGGATTAATAAAAACCGTTTCTACGAGGTCTGGCTATTAAAAAACGAGACTGCTTATGAAAAATGGTTTTACTTTAAAAATTATTCCACAACCGAATGTTTCCCTTCAATATACTCTCCTCCCCTCTTCACACACCGTTTCATTCGTTTCTTTCATTGCTCGAGAAAGTGCTGGAAGTCTGTTTTCGTAAGACCATTCAGGAGTTCCGCCGATTTTTGTTTCACCTCTTCCATCGACTCAAATTTAGTGGATACAAAGTAAAACAAAACAATGAAATTTTATTTACTTTAAGATTCGATCCTTTATATGACATAAATTTTATAACCATGTGAGCAGCTCCAAAAGTGTGTCACATAATTAAAATTTTAACTTCGTTTATCTTAAAACACGGTTTCCTAGAAAATTTCCTTCTAGCACTCTGTCCTTTAATTACTAATTATCAATATTACAAAAATGATATACTTAGGTTTAAAAAAAAATTCCATTTTTTTACTAGGATTGTATTAGAGATCTAACTGGATACCGGAGTTTATAAGGGGGGGGGGGTGAATGAATATATACTCAAATAGCGTAAGAATTAAAATCCTTTTGAGTATATATACATTGCCTTCCGCCCTTTATAATATTCGTTGACGCCTACAGTAACCAGCTTACGATAGTATTATGTTTGATATCATTAATAATCAAAATACTGGATACAGTTTCTTGAAGTATTTTTGGTGACTGTTATTATATTTTTTCCGTTAACACTAAGGAAATAATTAAGATTTATTCTAACACTTAAATTTTTTGCTCCAATTTATAATGACCACAATGTTTCTAAATAGAAATTTGTCTGGGGGGGTACTTTAAAGAAAACATTTTTCGATATCCTAAAGAGTTTTTTTTAACAAATGTAAAAACCCGGAAAAACGTAAAAACAATGGAAAAATCGGTACATTAAACAAATAATATTAAAAATAATATAAAATGTCTATTTAATTGTTTTACCATAATATAACATGTATAATATATGTTATATATATTGTTGAAAAAGCATCATCAATAGAACTTCTGTAAGAAATAATTTTTCGTTAACGATGTTTAATAATTGTTAACAAATATACATTAAATTATATTTAATAGTAATTGCAAACGTCCCCATTATCCTAGGATGCCTATTTTTATATAGTTTTAAAGTATTTTAAAAATCAAGAGCTATTTCTTTGCATAAACACCGTGCAGGAGATATTCAAAATCGAGGTCAATAATCGGTTAGGCGAGCAAATAAAGCATAAAGGATTATATTGTAATTAATTAAAATACATAAACATCTATGGTAACTAGTTCGACCGTTACAATAATTTTATGGAGACATGATTATCATATTAAGTTTTCCAATTTTCTATAAAGCCAGAAAATTTGAATGTTCTGACTGTTGGCTTTTCTCGATTTGAAATTTTAATATTTTAATAGTTAATTTTAAAAATCCAATCCTATTTGGATTGACCTTGTTTATATTATATTATGAGGTTTATTGTAAAAAAATTATTACTACTTTTATTTAAAGCCGTACAATGCGTGAACATCAGACAAAAACGTCTATTAAACATTTTTGTATTCGATCATTTGTTTACGGTTACCATTTACCAGATATTAAGATTCATTTTCATATTCTAATGTGGACCGGGCTTAACAATGATAAAATTTAAAATATAAGATAGGTAAATATTAATATTTATTATTAATAAATTATAAGACTGTAGAATGGAGTTCTTTATTCAGCGTGTCGGTTCGTATCGTATGAATTACACTTTTTTAATCGACTGTATATCTAAGTAGATTTACTTTCTTTTTAATCTTGTCCACTAAGACGCAACCGAGGATAAAACGTTTTGAACAATTGCCATACTAATGACTGTCGGTGCTATGGTGGCTATAGTGTTCTCTATATGATAAATATCGCAAATATTTTTGCGAAGTGATTTCATTTCATCAAATTATGGTTAGTATCATCGTGAAAAAATATCACGTTACGAAAAACGTAGTTGACTAAAATCTACATTTATAAGATACGAAATGAAACAATGATTTGCAAGTTCCACGAAATTTTGTATTTCTAGAGTTCTGACTGTACTTTTTTTCTTAATTTGTATTACATGTATTATATTTTATATAGTAAATTTTATTTATATAAAAGTTGCAAAAACATTCTTGAAATTGAATATGTGAGATCGATCAGCAGGGGTTCTCTGAATAGCGTAACAGGCTTTACGAACCCGAGGACCCTAGTTACCAATAGGCCCTTTGGTAATGGTTGTCTCTAGTAGGGCCAGCCAACTTACAATGTAAAAAAAAAATTGAAACAACCAAATAATAAGTCTAAAACAAAAATTGTAAAAATTAAGGATTTTACGACTAGAACTAGGAATGTGCGAATATTGTATAAGCCTGGGAATTTGATGACTGCGACGGAGGAGTACTTGTTGCTTTTTTTATATTATGTATTTAAAATTGTACCATAAATAGAAAAATAACATGTCGCTCTCTATTGCAAAAACACCGTGCAGGAGACATTCGAAATCGATGGCGATATACGGACGGACGTGTTAGTTATACATAGATAATTATATAGTATATAAAATTAATAATATAATTGTCTGTGATAACTTGCTCGTCCGTTACTATAATTACAACGGAAACCAGACATTATTTATTATTTTATTTTATTTATATATTTATTTTATTTATGATTATTATTTTTATAATTAAGTTTACATTTAAAAATTGTTTTCGGTAACTTTATTTTGTCAGACCGTGCATAATATTTATATTTTATATTAACTGTACCTGCGTAACTGAATTTCTGAAAAAAAAGCTCATATTTTCGGAGCTGAGACAGACTTTTAGCTATATAGGATACATTTCTTTTAAATTGCTTTATAGTTCAAAAATATACGAAGTTCTCGTATGCATTGACACCATGAACGAGACATTCGAGTTTGATGGTAATAAACGGATGGGCGGGGTGGTAACGTATTGTTGTCTATATTTAATGTACAGATTAAAACAATATAGGCAATAATGTTTACCATTTCGTCCGTTACGATAATTCGATACCTCCAACTTCATATCCAACCAGATATTCTACAAAGACATCGATTTTACGTGATGTACATGAGGTAGCTTAGTCTAATTTTGTTGATTTATTTTATTGTTACGAAATATTATGACCTTAAAGTAGTTTTTATCTTAAATTAGCAATGTTATTAAATTGAATATTACATATAAATTTTGTATAGTGTATGATTTTATTATTTTTTAGTTAATTTTTCATGATTGTATTAAGTGGTTTAATTAAATATCTTCTCTAACGATAACAAAAAAAAAAAAAAAAAAAATATTTAGTCCTATTTTGTTTAACCCAGTTTATATTATATTTCAAGTTTAATTAAGAATTTATTATTTCTTTTATTTAAAGTCGTACGAAGTGTGAACATCAGTAAAAAATGTCTATTAAACANTACGAAACGACACGATGATTTGCAAGTCCCGCCTAATAGTTTATTTCTAGAGGTCAGACTGCATTTTTTTCTTAATTTGTACAACGTTTTATATATTTTTTATATACTAAATTTTATTTATGTTAACTTTGATAATCATTATTGAAATTGAATATGTGAGATCTTACCGCAGGGGTATTCTGAATAGAGTAACGGGCTTTACGAACCCGCGGACCCTAGTTACCGATAGGCCCTTTGGTAATAGTTGTTTCTAGTAAGGATAACCACCCCACAGTATGAAAAATAATTTTGAAACAAACAAATAATAAGCCTAGGACAACATTTGTAGCGTTTAAGGATTTTATGACTGGAGCTAAGAATGTGCGAACGTCGTATAAGCTTGGGAATTTGATGACTGCGACGGAGGAGCACTTGTTGTTTTTTTTTTTATATCATGTATTTAAAATTGTTCCATGAAATAGAAAAAAGAACTGTTCGCTCTCCATTGCATAAACACCGTGGAGGAGACATTCAATATCGATGGTGATATACGGACGGACGGGTTAGTAATACATAGATAATTATATAGTATATAAAATGAATAACATAATTGCCTATGTTTACTAATTTGTCCGTAACGATAATTAAAACGAATATAACTAGATATTTTTTAGACTATTAATTTTAATAATTCAGTTTACATTTGGAAATTGCTTTCGGTACCTTTATTTTGTAAGACCGATATTATTATTACATTTTATTTCAATTGTACCAGCCCAACTGCAAATCGAAAAAACGGGTCGTCCTGCTAGAGCCTAAAGGAGCTCTTGTCATTACATAATATCATTTACAGAAAGTACTTCAAGATTTCGTTGTAAAGATACATGCTTCTCGTGTGCAGGAAGCATTCGAGTGAAGAGGTAATAAACTTATGAATACAGTAAGTTCTCATAGTTTTTCACATATTATATGAAATGAAACAATTTAGGCAAATATGACTCCACCATATACATCTATATATAAATACGACCAGTACATCTAAACATTTTTACGTTCAATGTTGTAAAATCGGTTACTGTTTTTATTTGTAAACTTTTTTATATAGGTATAAAACTTATAATGTGTTGTTAGTTTTACCATTTTAAATTATTTGTCTAGGTTCAAAACTAAAGAAAAAAACATCATATATGTTAGTTTTTTTTATAATTTTTATTTTTAAGCATGTTACGAGTATGTATGTATATTGATTTAAATTGTAACATTTCTTTTAAATTGCATTGTAGTTAAATTGTAAAGATAAGAGCTTCTTATGTGCCTAAAATCGCTGCCGGATATATTCGAGTTCGACATTAACAATCTGAAGCTTTTTTTAAATATTTGATGTCTATACGGTTTAAGAAATTATTATTATAATTTAATATCACATTAGTGTAGACCATGTCAAACATTATTGTAATTTCATAAGTATAAGATTAATATTATATACCATTGAAAATCTGTAAAAGGATATTATTAACTCGTACCGTTTCCTATCGTGTGACATACTATTATTTGATCTTCTAAACTTCTGGTTAGATACACTTAAATACAAATGTTGTCTACCTTGACGTACACAAAAGAAGAACATTTTGATGTCATTGATGAGTTTAAACATTGACATTACTCTTATGCTAGTTTTGATGTTCTCAATAAGATTAATAACAGAAACAAGTTTATAGCTATTTTATTTCATCTTATTATCACGAAAGGAAAACACGTGACAATTATCATCATATTCAAAGTATTCTAAATTTCGCACGATATCAAACGACACGACGGATTGCATTCTCCAAGTAAAACTATTATTATATAGGTACTACAGCAATTTAGAAAAAGTCATTCATCTGCCAGGGAAGATCTAGGTTATTAAACAGCTTCATGTGTTTTATATTTTTTCATGAGTCTCATTAATAACCAGGATTTTCCCTTGAGCACTTGCACCGAACTCGAGACATTCGAGGTCAAGTGCAACAAACGGACGGACGCTGAATTGAATCATTGATGGCTTTATAATATATGAATTTAAAATCATAAGGTCATTAATGTCACTTCTTCGTCCGATACAAAATATCGATCCATAAAAATCACGAAAACGACCAGCTGTTTAACAAAGCCACATATTATTATAATGGAGAGGTTATTGTTCTTACGGTGTCTATTTTAAAAAAAATATCACGTTACAAAAAAAACGTAGTAGACTAAAGTCTACATTTTAAATGATAGGAAACGAGACGATGATTTGCAAGTTTCGCGTAATTATGTATTTCTAGTGGTCTGACTGCATTTATTTGTCGATTTGTATTAGGTGTTTTATATTTTATATAGTAAATTAAATTTATGTGCACTTTGATTAATATTATTGAAATTAAACATGTGAAATCGTACCGCAGGGGTATTCTGAATAGAGTAACGGGCTTTACGAACCTGCGGACCCTAGTAAACGTTAGGTCTATCGGTAATGATTGTTTCTCGTAGATTTTGATCTTGATCGTGTATTTAAAATTGTTTGATAAGATTAATAAAAGAACAAAGACGGTCTCCATTGCATATACAATTTTCTGGAGACATTCGAAATCGATGGCGGTATNTAGAGTAACGGGCTTTACGAACCTGCGGACCCTAGTAAACGTAATAAACGTACGGGCGGGGTGGTAACGTAATTGTGCCTATATTTAATGTACGAATTAAATAAATATAGGCAGTTATGTTTCCATTTCGTCCGTTAAGATAATTCGATGCGTTCAACTTCAAACCCAACCAGCTATTATACAAGGATATTGATTTTACGTGTTCAGCAGGTAATTTTGTTAATTTTTTTTTATCATTGCGAAATAATTTAACCTTAAGGTAATTTTTGATCTTAAATCAGCAATGTTATTATATCGAATCATACATATGAATTTTGTACAGCGTATGTTTAACTGTTATTATTATTTTTAGTTGATTTTTTCATATTTATACTTATTGGTTTAATTTAAAAAGTTTTCTAACACTATAATAAATAAAATACAGTCCTGTTTGGTATAACTCTGTTTACATTATATTTAAGTTTAATTAAGAAATTAATATTCCTTTTGATTAAAGTCGTACGATGTGTGAACATAGGTCAAAAACTTCTCTTAAACATTTTCGTATTAGATAATTTTTCAAGGTTACCATATAACAGATATTTATGATTCATTATCATATTGTAATGTAACCGGCCTAACCTTGTCTAAATTTTAAATGTTAGANTTAAAGTCGTACGATGTGTGAACATCGGTCAAAAACTTCTCTTAAACATTTTCGTATTAGATAATTTTTCAAGGTTACCATATAACAGATGTTTATGATTCATTATCATATTGTAATGTAACCGGCCTAAACTAGTCTAAATTTAAAATGTTAGATGATTAAATATGAATTTTGTTATTAATGGATTTCTATATTCAGCGTGTCGTTTCGTATCGTGTTAATTACACTTTTTTGATCGAATGCAAATCTGAGTAGATTTACTTTTTTTTTAACCTTGCCTACTAGGACGTAACCATAGGGTAAAACATTTTGAACTGATCGCTGTACTTATGATTGTTGGTTTTATAGTGGTTCAAGTGATCGCTATAAAATTTATATCACAAATATTGTATAATTGATTATTTATCACCTAATTATAGTTAGTATTATCTTGAAAATATATCACTTCACGAAAAACGTAGTTGACCAAAATTTACATTTTAAATGATACGAAACGACACGAAGATTTGCAAGTCCCGCCTAATTGTGTATTTCTAGAGGTCAGACTGCATTTTTTTCTTAATTTGTATAACGTGTTATATATTTTGTATATACTAAATTTTATTTATGTTAACTTTGATAATCATTATTGAAATTGAATATGTGATATCTTACCGCAAGGGTATTCTGAACAGAGTAACGGGCTTTACGAACCCGCGGACCCCAGTTAACGTTTATCCTGCAGGGAAGATCCAGGTTATTAAACAGCTTCGTGTGTTTTATGTTTTTTACGAATCTTATTAATAACCAGGATTTTCCCATGAGCACTTGCACTGAACTCGAGTCATTCGACGTCAAGTGTGATAAACGGACGGACGGTGTAGTGAATCATTGATGGCTTTATAATATAAAAATTTACAAATATAATCTCATTAATGTCACTTCATCGTCCGATTCGATAAATCGATCCATAAAAATCACGAAAACGACCAGCCGTTCAACAAGGCCACATATTTNGGATTTTCCCATGAGCACTTACACTGAACTCGAGACATTCGACGTCAAGTGTGATAAACGGACGGACGGTGTAGTGAATCGTTGATGTCTTTATAATATATGAATTTACAAATATAATGTCATTAAAGTCACTTCATCGTCCGATACGATAAATCGATCCCAAAAAATCACGAAAACGACCAGCCGTTAAGCAAGGCCACATACTTTTCGTATTGGAGAGGTTATTTGTCTTACGGTGTCTAATCTAGTTATGCCGAATTAGACAACCTAAGACAAAAAGCTTCTCCAACGTGCAATCTCCGTTCACAAGTCAACAATCATTATTATGTTAACGATCTCTTCACTGTGTTTTCCTTTTGTCCATACATAACTTTTTAAAAAAATATTACGTCACAAAAAAATCGTAGTGGACTAAAGTCTACATTTTAAATGATATGAAACGAGACAATGATTTGCAAGTTTCGCGTAATTGTTTATTTGTAGTAGTCTGATTGCATTTATTTGCCGATTTGTATTAGATGTTTTATATTTTATATATTAAATTTTATTTATGTAAACATTGCTAAATATTATTGAAATTGAATATGTGAGACCGTACCGCAGGGGTATTCTGAACAGAGGAACGGGCTTTACGAACCCGCGGACCCCAGTTAACGTTTATCCGGCAGGGACGATCCTGATTATTAAGCAGCTTCGTGTGTTTTATATTTTTCACGAATCTTATTAATAACCAGGATTTTCCCATGAGCACTTACACTGAACTCGAGACATTCGACGTCAAGTGGGATAAACGGACGGACGGTGTAGNTAACTTAATTTTTTGTGTTTAACTTAATTTTTTATTGTTTAACAGTCGTCACTTTAATCAGTGTGAATTAACTGAATGCACGTTGAATTCATTCAAGAGATTAGTACATTTCTTAAGGTGAAATTAGCATTCCACAGAGTTCTACTATGAAATGTAGTCTAAAATAATGCTATATTAATTTAATATTTTTAGAATTTCTGTTAAAAGTACGAAATTAATTTCTTGATATTGTCAATTTTCATCGGTTTTCAAAAAAAATAAATTTTTTAATTTATGCCGAAGAGGACAAGGCTGATTTATTATAGATATAAAATCATTATTTAGGAAGTTCAATAATGTATATACTATGATGATATAACTTAGCATCTTAACAGTATTTCTAATTTTAAAAAGGTATGCCATTGGTGAAAAGTGAATACATTTCTTAATGAAGAAATAATTATCAATACATTTTTGCTTAGGATTCGCCAAAGATTGTGAAGTATTAATTTTCTATTTGTAGAGTTCCACAAGAATTGCATTGGTTGTTAAACACGGGTTCTTAAAATCATGCTTTATCAAATCAATCGTTCTGGTGAGTATAGAAAGTAAAAATTAATTTTCTTAAATAAAATTTTATAAAACACATTGATTTTTATTAAAAAAAAAAAAAAAAAAAAAAAACAATGCTACACTTTAATAAAGAAATAAGTTATCTTTCTTAGTTCACAGACCATCCACAATTATTCAACGTTCGAAGGAAATCTATACTTATCGAAAGCGTATTAATGAATTCTTAATGTTAACGTTACGTATATTTTCTACCTATGATACATTATCGTCTCTCCTGCATTAATCTCGTCATTATATTATTTAGATTTTATTCTATTGTTTTTTTAGGTTGCTTATCCCTAACATCTTTACTGCGTGAGAGTTTTATGCAATAAACTAGTTACAACACTCTTAGTGTTGATCAAATACTCAGGGGGTTAGCGATGATGTGAAATAGTTTATCATAATTTTATGGTTTCCCAAATGCAGATACCTAATTCAATGCTAAATATTTTGACGGATTTAGATTAATATAAAGTATATTATATATAATATATATATTTATTTATTTATTTATTATATTTAAGTTATCTACAATGACGGTATACGATAGATTGTTGGACAATTCACGCTTGTATATGAAGATAAAAATAAATATTGTATAGCTACTTAACTTTATATTCAAATTTTATTTTAAAAAAATTGTAATTTTTGTTAAATTTGTATTGTGTGTTATTGTCTTTGACACACATTGTTTTTGCATTTGTTATTTAATTTTTAGTTGGACTGATAATAATTGTGCATTCTAAAATCCACCCCACACAATACATAATTTAAATCTTTTAATTAAAATCCAGGGATCTCTAAACAACAGTCTGTCAATAAGTTTTCACCAGCCTTTCGTATTCAAATCTAACGAATAATCACATAATATTTACCTACGATTAAGTCCTGTTCCGACTACATAATCTAAGACAGAGCCTCTGTCTGTAAATTGAATAAATTTTCGTACGGAAGCTGATGTTTGATTAAAAAAAATTCAATATGTTTTAAATTTTATAATATTGAATATTTTTTGTCAAACCTTATCTCTCACGTATAAACACAGTGCAAGAAAACAGAAATTGAGGATACACGGGCTGTAACTACTCACTAACCAAATTAAGTCGATTAAATAGTTTAAGTTGTATGCAATACAGAAAAAATGGTCTATATTTTATATCGTCTAAGCGTGATCTCAGTTTTGTATGTTTCGATTTTTGTAAAAAACTATATTTTTTCATATTTAAAGACACACCGTTCTATGTTTTCATTAATTTGTTTCAGAATGTGCAATCCATGTTAATAGCAGATATTTATTCAAAATAAATAGTGCATTTTCATACGATAAAATATTAAGGGGTAAAGTTGTAATCCACAGAAAAAGTAAATTTTACTAACACAAAATCGCACACACTCAGACATAACATGTTCAAAAGAACAGACATTTTTCTAAATTAAAAAAACCTAAAATTGTATCACTTTGAATACATTTTGTATAGTCTCCGTTAAATTTCAAATCACAAAACTATTTGCACTACAGGTGAATGAGAACTCAAATTTCAAAGTGTTTTATACTATCATCCATACAATTTCTATATACACTTTATAGTTCACGCACACACACCATCCACAGTTACTAATCATTTGAAGAAGATTCACAATTATCGAATACGAGTAAACAATTTCTCAATATTAGAGATAAGTATATTTTCTACTTTAGGTACATTATCAATTTTCCTACACTAAAAACATTATGACAATATTTTAATTTTTTTAGAAGATTGATGGTTAACAACTAACATATTCACAATGCGGACGGTGTATGCGAAACACTAGTTGCAACACTCGTAGTTTTAATCTTGCATTCAGGAACTCAAAGGTGATACGGAATAGTCAGTTAATCAAGGTCTTAAGGTCTCCAAAACTAATTCGACCCTATCCAGTTGCAATCAGATTGATCGATTCAGGTAAACTTATGGTTTGTATAATTTTTACAGTTAAATTGTTTTTTAATTATTTTTTTTTAAAATGAAAATTATTGATATAAGGATAAATCTATTTCATATGCTTTAATTAGGCATTAAGCACAACGTCTCTTAACAAAGAATGGATATTTAGGGATTTTCTATATTTTTGTTTGTAGGGATTTAGAACACAAGAAGATTCTCCTTTGCATACAATCAGGGCAAGAGACATTCGTGATCGAGGGCAATTAACCCCGTTAGGGCGAACGGGCTAGTGAGATATGGTGGATTATATTTAATGTAATAAAAAATATAACAACTATATTTCCTAGCCCGTGCGTTACGATAAATACAACGAATATCGGATAAGATATAGATTGTTAAGTTTTCTTAATCAGTTTAGTTATAGAAACTTTTTCCGGCACCGTTTTTTTGTCCTATGGTTAATATTCATTGTATTATTTTAATTGTAACAGCCCAACTAAAATTCGAAAAATTGTTCATCCTACTAGAGCCTAATGGGTCTCTTTACAAGACATCATTTACAGGAACTAGTTAGTTAAATGAAATAGTTTTCTAAATATTATATTGAATGAAACAATTTAGGCCAATGTAGCTCCACCATATACATCTATACATAAATACCACCAATACATCGAAACATTGTTACGTTAAAGGTTGTAAAATCAGTTATTGTTTTTATTTGTAAACTTTTTAATTTTAGTATTAATCACATAGTGTGCTGTTAGTTTTACAATTATAATGTATTTGTCTAGGTTCAAAACTAAAGAAAAGAACATTATCTATTTTAGTTTTTTTTATAATTTTTAGTTTTATGCATAATACGAATATGTATGTATATTGATTTTTATCAAATTTTTTATTTTATATTGCATCACTGGTAAGTAGTAGAGATACGAGCTTTACATGTGCAGATATATTCGAGTTCGACGCTAAAAAGCGGACGGATATTTTGGTAAAGATTTGTTGTCAATAATGTATAGGAATTTATTATTATTAATTAATTAAGAAATTATTTTTATGATTTACCATCACATTAGTGTAGACCATGTCAAACCTTATTGTAATTTTATATGTGTAAGATTGATATTATAATCAATTAAAAATCTGTAAAAGGGGATTATCAACTCGTACCATTTCCTATCGTGTGACATACAATTTTTTGATCAAGAGTAGAATATTTCGATCTCATTGTCAAGCTTACCAATGAAAATTACTATAGTTCTAATTGTGAGGTTCGCCATGAGATTGATAGCGAAAACATGTTTATAGCTATTTTATATTATGTCATTATCACGAAAGTCAATCACGTGAAAAAAATCATTATTTCAAAATATTCTACATTTCACACGATACCAACGACACGACGGATTACAAGCTCCAAGTAAATCAATTATTATACAGGCACCACCGAAATTCGGAAAAAGCCGTTCATCTGTCAGGGAAGGTCCGGTTTATCAATAATGTGTTCTTGTTTTATATTTTTCAAGAATCTCATTGATAATCTGGATTTTCCCATGAACACCCGCTCCGAACTCGAGACATTCGAAGTCAAGTGTAATAAACGGACGGACGGGTTAGTTATACATTGATAATTATATAGTATATAAAATGAATAATATAATTCTCTGTGTTAACTCGCTCGTCCGTTACGATAATTACAACGGAAACCAGACATTATTTAGATTATTAATTTTTTAAACTCAGTTTACAATTAGAAATTGCTTCCGGTGCCTTTATTTTGTCCGACCGTTATTATTAATTACATTTTATTTAAATTGTATCAGCGTAACTAAAATTCCGAAAAAAACTCATCTTGTAGGAAATATGAGAGAATTTCGGGTGTAAAAGGTACCATTATTTTTAAATTGCGTTTTAGGTCAAATATACGATGTTCTCGTATGCATTTACACCTTAAACGAGACATACGAGTTTGAAGGTTATAAACGTAGAGGGCGGGGTGGTAACGTAATTGTGCCTATATTTAATGTACGAATTAAATAAATATAGGCAATTATGTTTCCATTTCGTCTGTTACGATAATTCGATGCGTTCAACTTCAAATCCAACCAGCTATTNATTTGTCTTTCGATGTCTAATTTAATTTTGTCGAATTAAACAACCTAAGACGAATAACTTCTTCAACACGCAATCATCGTTCACGTGTCAACAATCATTTTCTTGTATAGGATCCCCTCTCAGTACTTTTATTTTGAACGTTCATAATTCTTTTTAAAAAATATTACGTCACAAAAAACGTAGCTGACTAAATTCTACATTTTAAATGATGTGAAACGACTCGATGATTTTCACGTTCAGCGTAATTGGGTACTAAGAGGTCTACTGCATTTTTTTCTTACTTTGTATTACGTGTTTTATATTCTATATATATTAAATTTTATTTATGTGCTTTATTTGCTGAACATTATTGAAATTTTATATGGAAAATTGTACCGCAAGGGTACTCTGAATAGAGTAACGGGCTTTACGAACCTGCGGACCCTAGTAAACGTAATAAACGTACGGGCGGGGTGGTAACGTAATTGTGCCTATATTTAATGTACGAATTAAATAAATATAGGCAGTTATGTTTCCATTTCGTCCGTTAAGATAATTCGATGCGTTCAACTTCAAACCCAACCAGCTATTATACAAGGATATTGATTTTACGTGTTCAGCAGGTAATTTTGTTAATTTTTTTTTATCATTGCGAAATAATTTAACCTTAAGGTAATTTTTGATCTTAAATCAGCAATGTTATTATATCGAATCATACATATGAATTTTGTACAGCGTATGTTTAACTGTTATTATTATTTTTAGTTGATTTTTTCATATTTATACTTATTGGTTTAATTTAAAAAGTTTTCTAACACTATAATAAATAAAATACAGTCCTGTTTGGTATAACTCTGTTTACATTATATTTAAGTTTAATTAAGAAATTAATATTCCTTTTGATTAAAGTCGTACGATGTGTGAACATTGGTCAAAAACTTCTCTTAAACATTTTCGTATTAGATAATTTTTCAAGGTTACCATATAACAGATATTTATGATTCATTATCATATTGTAATGTAACCGGCCTAACCTTGTCTAAATTTTAAATGTTAGATGATTACGTATGAATTTTGTTATTAATGGATTCTAAGACTGTAAAATGGATTTCTATATTCAGCGTGTCGTTTCGTATCGTGTTAATTACACTTTTTTGATCGAATGCAAATCTGGGTAGATTTACTTTTTTTTTTAACCTTGCCTACTAGGACGTAACTATAGGGTAAAACATTTTGAACTGATCGCTGTACTTATGACTGTTGGTTTTATGGTGGTTCAAGTGATCGCTATAAAATTTATATCACAAATATTGTATAATTGATTATTTATCACCTAATTATAGTTAGTATTATCTCGAAAATATATCACTTCACGAAAAACGTAGTTGACCAAAGTCTACATTTTAAATGATACGAAACGACACGATGATTTGCAAGTCCCGCCTAATAGTGTATTTCTAGAGGTCAGACTGCATTTTTTTCTTAATTTGTACAACGTGTTATATATTTTTTATATACTAAATTTTATTTATGTTAACTTTGCTAATCATTATTGAAATTGAATATGTGAAACCGTACCGCAGGGGTATTCTGAATAGAGTAACGGGCTTTACGAACCCGCGGACCCCAGTNAACGTTTATCCGGCAGGGACGATCCAGATTATTGAGCAGCTTCGTGTGTTTTATGTTTTTCACGAATCTTATTAATAACCAGGATTTTCCCATGAGCACTTACACTGAACTCGAGACATTCGACGTCAAGTGTAATAAACGGACGGACGGTGTAGTAGATCATTGATGGCTTTATAATATAAGAATTTAAAAATATAATGTCATTAATGTCACTTCATCGTCCGATACGATAAATCGATCCATAAAAATCACGAAAACGACCAGCCGTTCAACAAGGCCACATATTTTTCGTATTGGAGAGGTTATTTGTCTTACGGTGTCTAATCTAGTTATGCCGAATTAGACAAACTAAGACAAAAAGCTTCTCCAACGTGCAATCTCCGTTCACAACTTAACAATCATTATTATTTTAAGGATCTCTTCACTGTGTTTTCCTTTTGTCCATACATAATTTTTTTTAAAAAATATTTCGTCACAAAAATATCGTAGTGGACTAAAGTCTACATTTTAAATAATATGAAACGAGACAATGATTTGCAAGTTTCGCGTAATTGTTTATTTCTAGTAGTCTGACTGCATTTATTTGCCGATTCGTATTAGATGTTTTATATTTTATATATTAAATTTTATTTATGTAAACATTGCTAAACATTATTGAAATTGAATATGTGAAACCGTCCCGCAGGGGTATTCTGAACAGAGTAACGGGCTTTACGAACCCGCGGACCCCAGTTAACGTTTATCCGGCAGGGAAGATCCAGGTTATTAAACAGCTTCGTGTGTTTTATGTTTTTCACGAATCTTATTAATAACCAGGATTTTCCCATGAGCACTTACACTGAACTCGAGACATTCGACGTCAAGTGGGATAAACGGACGGACGGTGTAGTGGATCATTGATGGCTTTATAATATAAGAATTTAAAAATATAATGTCATTAATGTCACTTCATCGTCCGATACGATAAATCGATACATAAAAATCACTAAAACGACCTAGCCGTTCAACAAGGCCACATACTTTTTGTATTGGAGAGGTCATTTGTCTTTCGATGTCTAATTTAATTTTGTCGAATTAAACAACCCTAGACAAAAAGATTCTTCAACACGCAATCATCGTTCACGTGTCAACAATCATTTTCTCATATAGGATCCCCTCTCAGTACTTTTATTTTTTCCATTCATAATTTTTTTAAAAAAATATTACGTCACAAAAAACGTAGCTGACTAAATTCTACATTTCAAATGATGTGAAACGACCCGATGATTTTCACGTTCGGCGTAATTGGGTATTAAGAGGTCTACTGCATTTATTTCTTACTTTGTATTACGTGTTTTATATTTTATATATATTAAATTTTATTTATATGCTTTATTTGCTTAACATTATTGAAATTGAATATGGAAGATTGTACCGCAAGGGTACTCTGAATAGAGTAACGGGCTTTACGAACCTGCGGACCCTAGTAAACGTTAGGTCTATTGGTAATGGTTGTTTCTCGTAGATTTTGATCTTAAACGTGTAATTAAAATTGTTTGATTAGATTAATAAAAAAACAAAGACGGTCTCCATTGCATATACAATCTTCTGGAGAAATTGAAAATCGATGGCGATATACGGACGGACGGGTTAGTTATACATTGATAATTATATAGTATATGAAATGAATAATATAATTCTCTGTGTTAACTCGCTCGTCCGTTACGATAATTACAACGGAAACCAGACATTAATTAGATTATTCAATTGTTTAATTCAGTTTACAATTAGAAATTGCTTCCGGTTTTTTTATTTTATCCGACCGTTATTATTAATTACATTTTATTTTAATTGTACCAGCGTAACTAAAATTCCGAAAAAAACTCATCTTGTAGGAAAAATGAGAGAATTTTGGGTGTAAAAGATACCATTTTTTTTAAATTGCGTTTTAGGTCAAATATGCGATGTTCTCGTATGC